TATAAGAACACCGGATTATATATCTTACTGTTATTTATTTTATTTATATATATATATATATATATATTAATAATATATAATAACGCATATTCGAGGATACCCGTCTACTAGGGCGTTTATCCAATATCTATTGCCGACTCTCGATCAGTGTTTGTGTCTGTTCAACATCAAAAGAGCCCACCTGTGGTTTATACTGCAACTATGCTGAGCAGACCTTAGTTACAGATTCTGGGAGAGAGCATGTTATCTAGAATGATCACCAACCTGAATAACACCTGCACACTCAAATCCTCGGTCACGATGACTTGTGACTTCGTGTTAGCACAGCTATCGACGGCCCAATTTCACTCACACGGTCGGGGTCAACCGGTGGTATGGTTTTCAGGTACTTTCCAAAGGAGACGCACGCTGGGACCCCCCTCTAGACCGATAACATCAGAAAGTCTCCTTCCTGACAAATCTACCATGGTGAGATTCTCATTGTCAGAATGCAAACGTTCTAACCACTCGGCCATATATATATATATATATATATATATATATATATATATATATATATATATATATATATATATATATATAATCCAAAGTGTTTATATAAAAAATTAGTAAAAAAGTGAATTGCTGTGATATTTTGATTGAAAGTTTTCGCTTAAGAAGCGGTTTTCAAGAAATTACAATGTTCCGATACGTTAATTAGATTGTCCAATCCGTACAAAATGGTTAATTATATTAGTCGGCCTCGTGATTTTAGATTTACGCAATAAAAAACCTGAAGTCATTACTGAAAACACTTATTTAACCACGAATATGCTGTGCATACGCATACACAAACACAGACACACACAAACACAGACACACAGATGTAGCGTCCTCATAGGCATCCTCTAACATATACTCATGCAAACAAGTCGATACGAGCATGAACGTCGATGTATCGGCACGTCAGTACACCCACATAGACAAATACTCAAATCAGAAACGCCCACCTCGACATTAAATATTTTTAGATAATATTTAATATATTATTCATTTTCCTTTAACATCTCCTGAGATGAATGTTATTTTGTTTTATGTGAACTGTTCCTTTTGTATAATAAGAATTATGGCTAATAGAATTTTGAGTCTTTCCTTGACTTTCTTTTTCTTTGCTTTCATACGCTTAAAAATAATAATAATAATAATAATAATAGTAATAATAATAATAATACAATGGTTTCGAAATCGAAATCTCAAAAATGTGGCACATGAGGACTTCAAGAATTCCTCTTGTAGTTGGAGCCCTCGGATTGATTGAAATGGATTCCATTGAGTTCGTTGAAGGGATATCTAGTAGCCCATGCCTTGAAAAAAAAAAAAAAAAAAAAGAAAAAAACGTGTTCACACGAGTACAGCCCACACTTTACGAAAGGCTTTATTCATTTAAAATATGTTTTTTTTTTTTATAAATTGTTCAGTGTAAAATGTCATGATGGCATTTCTTACCTTTCTGGTCGAGACCCGGAAGGAAACCAGAGGAAATAACATAATAATGATAGTAATAATAATAATTAGAAATAGCAGTTCACGGTTTTGCTATTTGAAATCTCTGATGAATCTTAATTCTTAAGTTAATGATTGAATTATCTTCATGCAAGTTCTGCGACTGTAAAATATCTGTAGGAATTTTTCGATTGTTTAGATAAATATTTGAGCTTAACTTTAACAAAATATTGCATAAACAATCATAAGTATGAACACAGGTCATTATTTAAAGAAGTAAGAGGGTACAAATGAAAAGATTTGAAACTGACAAGTTTTCCATTTCACTAAAGCAGACGATAAACACGAGTGTTATCATATCCTCTTTCGTTCTTTCTTTCTTTCTTTCCTTCTTTCTTTCTTTCTTTCTTTCTTTCTTTCTTTCTTTCTAGTTCTCAGTGAAATCAAACAACATCTCTAATGTGTCTTTTTTGTCTTTCCTCGAGATGAAAACAGAATAGTTCATTATTTATGAGGTACTGGCAGAACGTAATCTATCTATCTATCTATCTATCTATCTATCTATCTATCTGTTTTGTTCCTCTATGTATCTATTCTGTTAATCTATCTATCTATCTATCTATCTATCTATCTATCTATCTATCTATCTATCTATCTATCTATCTATCTGTTTTGTTCCTCTATGTATCTATTCTGTTCATCTATCTATCTATCTATCTATCTATCTATCTATCTATCTATCTATCTAAAGAACTAGCAGGATTTATTAATATGAAAATAATAATAATAATAATAATAATAATAATAATAATACCTATAAATATTTGACACATGTTTTTGCGGTGCGGTCTCGTTCCAATTAATAGTTACATATGACGCCATTTCCAGTGCTCTAAAACGCTAGATGTAACTGACAAAATCAATTCAATCACCCTAACACCACTCAGTTCCTGATAACTCGATACACAGATCGCGCGCACAAGTTCGATACACACAGGCATTTACGAACACTATAAAAAACCGAGCGGAGACATTACTAGTCCAACTATATTGACAAATGTCAAGAAAAAATCGTGTTCATTATATTTTCAGAGGTCAATCCTGGTAACAACTGCTTACCTTCCCCCAACCGCGTAATGTGATGTTAAGTTGCTATATTGATCACAACGGGGAGATTGGGGATAAAATATAGATGAGATTCAAGAGAACCTATGATCGTTTAAATATAAAATAAACAAATTGCTACCCCAACTTTCGGGGTGAGAACATTAAGCATTCGAACTGAAGGGAGTATGGATATTTATCTCTACTCTTTGAGTAAAAACCTTTTGAGAGGTTTGATTAGATTGCTTGATTTTACGGCTAGTCGAGTTGTTTAATGACAAATTTTGGATGGTACTCCCAGTGAGGATATAATTCACTGCTCAGCGTGGATAATGGTTAGTGAGGCTAAGTTTAAACGTCTAATAATTTTTTTCAACCAAACTAGTTTCGTTGACAAAAAGTTATTAGACGTTTAAACTTAATTCACATTTAAAATCGGTCCAAATTATTGGGACACCCTATATTTCCAGAATATTATATTTTAATTTAAGAAAAAGGTAAAAATTAGACTTAGACACCCCCCCAAAAAAAAAACAAAAACAAAAAACAACCAAACAAAAAAGAAAAAAGAAAAAAAAAAGAAAAGAAAAAGAAACAAAAAATCGTTTTGTACAGTTTAAAGAGAAGGTATTGTCAATGATCGAACGTGTCAAAAGTCGTTGGAGATTTCTCACTGAAAGATGTTCTCGAATCTGGTGGAGGATGATGGCGATATAATAACATTATTAGAAACTAAACAACTTTACACTACATGAGATAGATAGATAGATAGATAGATAGATAGAGAGAGAGAGAGAGAGAGAGAGAGAGTGAGTGAGATGTCCAATAAAGCTTTGAAAATGAATTAATTTGACCTAAGCCACATCGATGCTTAACTTTCACATAAACTGAACGATACAGCATAATAGGCAATATTTTCAGATATGTTGAACTACTTAAGCGTGGCGAAAATATTCCGTAAATGATGCTTTACAGCAGTGTGCAACGCGAAATAAACCAACATTAACCGTATTAGAGTCTGGTCTTCATCCAAAGAAAGTGATTCTCTGTTTATGATAGAATTGAAGTAGTGCTCATTTCTAGGAGTTCCATTAAGAGAACGAAACGGTTGATTCGAACAAGTACTGTTTCTCGTTAGACTAAGTAAAGAAGGCAGCAAACATCACCAAAAGTGCCCAGAAAGTTAATAGAAAGGACGTGATATTTTATAAAGGTAACGCTAGACATCATATTTTACTTTAGTGACATGAAAAAGATTTTAATAGCTTCACTGAGAAATTTTAACGCATTCACTTTGTTTACCACTTATTGCAATTTCGGATTACCATTTATCCAGATTCTATGAAATTTTTAATGAACAAAATGAAATTTTCTGGAAGGTTGTGAAACGTACCTAACTCTGAAAAGAACAATATTCCTGAGAAGGCAGAATTAAAAAAGATTCTTGCAAGATGGCAAAAGAAAGCAGACGAAAACAGTCTGTAAATTAAATATCGAAAAAAGCTTTTAGTTTAATTTAATAATTGGGTGTAAGCCAATATATTTTCCAGAAATAATAATGATGGTAAAACTCAAGCAGGAGTTGGCTGGACCCGACAACTTATATTCTGAACTAGAAGCATGGCCCGGCGTTGCCCGTGCTTGATTCAAAAATCGTACGACTCATACAGCACTGCACGCACTAACCTGTTTCTTCCCGCGCATAGCGTGACCTTAAATTGATCTGCATTTAGGAAATACCCAACCGGAAAAACATTTTTAAGGGTTGACCAATTGTTCATTTGCACTCTGTTTGGGGGGCGCTCAGAGTTGAAACTTCACATGGTGACTCCCAATGGCCTCTTCATAAATCCGATCGGTTTTCGCTAAAAACCGACATGCGGTTCAGGTGCAATCTGGGCGTATCGGTTTTGGGGTTTTATCGATTTTCCGCGCTGTTTAGGGGTCCGTGGTCATGAAACTTCTGGACAACACTTCTAAAGGTAGACTCTAAAAGGGTGTCAAATTTGGTTGGAATGCAATAATTCCTTCTGTAAGCAGATTTTTTCGATTATCGATTTTTTCGGAACCTGAGTCCGAACTGAAAAATCGGGCTGCGTCATGTCCTTAAGGCAGCCATTTGCAAACTTGTGGTGAAAACCGCATAGAAATCGGGTGAGAAATGCGGCCTGGGTGAGGTAACAACGCCCAAGACAGACAACATGAAAAATATAGATAGTAGATTTCTTATAATATATCTTATTATGACCAATCAAATATCATCCAAGCAATTTACTATTACTCACAACAACCCGTGAATATGACAGTGTAATTCCATTCAGTAAAATGAAAGGTGCAGTTTGACATCTGCAACAAACAGGCCAGGCGTTTTCTCCTATTTGCGTCCCAATGATTAATCTTATTGCTATATTTCGATGGTTAGTCGATCCGTGATTATCTCTTCCAAATGCAGCCGTTAAAAGAACAATGGATTCCTTTTGAGAAAATTTAATTTTTTTCTCAGATTAATGAATATATTTTGCTTTCTTTCTGTACAAGGTTGTGTGTAATTTGTGTTTGATTAGCTGCTTCTCTTTTAAGTGGTTATTTTTCATTGTACACTTTATTACGATCTGATACTTTTTTCTTTCATTAACGCCTTGCTCCAATTCTTTTGTTCAACGCAAACAACCTTTTTTCTAATTATGAAATAACTCTAATAACCTTTTTCTATTGTTCTTTCTTTAAGGGTTTGGTTGTTATTTCCTGTTGTATTTTTTTCAGTTTTTTCTTACAATTATCCATTTTCGCTTTCATTCCAATTTCCCTTTCCATCTTGGATATTTCTTCCTTTCTTTCATCCGAATGCTTCTTTACATAGATTTGTTTTTAATTTTGCGCTTTGGCCATTTTTCTTACATTTTAAGCATTGATTTTTTTTTACTTTCATTTTATTTTCTTTGTCTTTTTCTCGTTTCTTTTCGTTTTGGCTTTTTTCTTTTCTTCTGAATTTTTTTCACTTTCCTTTCTACACTGTAGTCATTTTATTTCTGTTTTGAACTATATTCCTTCGTCCTCATCCTTTCTTTCTTAGTCGATATATTTCCCTTATTTCTTCTTTAGTTCCCTTCCTTCCTTCCTTCCTTCCTTCCTTCCTTCCTTCCTTCCTTCCTTCCTCTCTTTTCCTTCCTTCCTTCAATCATTCATTCATTCCCTTGTTCGTATTCTTTTCTTACTGTTTTTGTGCCATTTCATTTTTTCATTTCTTTCGATCCCATATTTCTATTCTTCCTTCTATTATTCCTATTCTTCATGAGTTTGTTCCCTTCCTTCCTTCCTTTTTATGTCCTCTCTCAATCTTCCATTTCGTTCTATCCCTTTTTATGCCCTCTCTCTTTTCCTTCCTTCCTTCCTTCCTTCCTTCTTTTCTTCCTTCCTTCCTTCCTTCCTTCCTTCCTTCATTCCTTCCATCCTTCCTTCCTTCCTTCTTTCCTTCATTCCTTCCTTCCTTCCTTCCTTCCTCATAATCTTCCTTTCTTCTTCCTTCCTTCCTTCCTTCCTTTTATCTTCCTCCATTCCTCTAATATTTTCTCCTTTCTTTTTTCCTTTCCATTTAGCCCATATTTTCTTTATTCATTCTTTTCTCTCCTTCCTTCCTTCCTTCCTTCCTTCCTTCCTTCCTTCCTTCCTTCCTTCCTCTTTTGTCTTATACTCTTCATTTCTTTTTCCTTCTTTCTTTCCTTTTCATTATTCCTTTCTGAGTTTTTATCTTCCCTTTCATTCTACCTTCTTTTTTCTTTCCCTTTCATCCACATTTTCCCATATATCTGTCCTTCATTCCTTCTTTTGTGCTATCGCCATTAAATCTCAATATTTGAAAAGGTTAGCTTAATTTCATGGCAATGGCGTTTACAAAGATTGTGTTGCGCTGATTTTCCATGTGATTACGGCATGTGTATTTTAAAAATCAGCATTGAAACACCAAATTTGGGAAAAAATAGGCAGAGAAACATGGTTATTATAGGTATTTTTTGTTGAAAACCTGACTTAATAGATCTTGCCTATTTCCATCGGAACAACATCTGTAGAAATATTTTATTCCTTAGCAACATTTTTTTTACTTTTTCAACTACACGACGTATTCAAAGCTTGTTTGAAAAGTTCTATCAATGGTAATTTTTGACAAATCTTTCCTTTCTGATTCAGCAACGAAATGTTTGATGATTGTTCGTTCAAGTTCCACATGCTGACAATGAAAGCATGCATATTCACACACATATATATATATATATATATATATATATATATATATATATATATATATATATATATACTACTTAAACGTTATTTTAGTGGATTCTCGTATTTGAGTAGACGCTCCGTTTATTTGTTAAACATTATTTATTTTCATCTACCGGCCTGAATATTCAATAAATCTTATTAGAAAAAATATGCGCTCTCCGTCAGGATCCGAACCTGCGTTTCCCTCGGAGAAACCGTCATTAGATCTGGCGGTCTTAGAGTAGTCGAGAGATCAAAGCACGTCCGATGACGGTTACCCTTAGGAAATAAATAAATAAGTAAACGGAGCGTCTATTCAAAAACGAGTATCCACTGAAAGTGACGTTTAAGTAATAAAAAAAATCCATCACCTTTCCATATTTATATATATATATATATATATATATATATATATATATATATATATATACTAGCTGAATTACCCGCGCCTTGCTGGGTATCACATTTTTTGTAATAAAATGATGGTTGATTTTAAATCATTCTTATAATTTGTGGAGAAAAATGATGCATTTCAGTATTACTCAATGATCTTGCTGATGTGACCTTCATCTTCTGGATTTCTCCTTCTATATTTTGTTTCGGAGTCATTCCCTGGTGCAAATAAAACTTAATTTAAATCAAAGGGGAAAAATCAGTGGTAGGGTGAAAAACTTTGATATGTATTTGATGCAATACTTGATTGAATGAATCGATGAGCAAATTTCAACACTGATATGACAGTTGAATTGTCGCAGAAAATATATACTTTAAGGCACTACACCCTGATTAGTGATTTCTTGCTAACTTGACGTCCATATTGTCGCATTCTGATCTTGCCGATGTGACCTCCATCTTCTGGCTTTCTCCTTTAATATTTTGGATAGGACTCATTCCCTTTATCAAATTTAAATTTAATTTAAATCAAAGGGAAAAAAATTCAGTGCCCCCCCCCGTATACCCCCCTTTGATCAAAATGAAATATACTTATCCTAGTACCTTGGGTTATGTAGTTATGTGGGAGTCTATCTCTAAAACCCTAGGAGGAGTTCGACAACAAACAGACAGAGGCTACAAATTCATATATATATATATATATATATATATATATATATATATATATATATACATATATACATGACTAAAACTTTTATAAATAATTTAGATCAATAGCGGCATATCAACAAGTTATGGGTCATTTAATGCCGAAATATAATTTTCTTGGGAGCATTAGTAATTTAATTTACAAAAAAATGTATTACTGGTAAATTTTTAACTATGAAAATGTATTGCTGGTATTTTTACTATAAAAATCTATTTTTTATGCTTTCATGGTTTTTTGATACCAATTTTGGGGTTAACTATTTACCCATAACTGGTACCCTAACATGTGGACCTGGGAATAAGAACGATTAAGGCGTGGTTCTACGCTTGTCAAAAAAATTGCTGCCGGATATAGTTTTTTATCATACCCAGGGCGCCCTTCTGTGGAATCACATTTCTCTCGCCTCAAGTCTCTTCTTTATCTGAGGAGATTTTCCAGCATTCCCTATCATGTAGGAAGATCAATATTACCTAGCTGCCCAGTACTCTTTTCTTTGTTTCTAACAATTTTTTTCTTAATGTTTTGCTTAAGTTCTGAAAGTCATCTTTTGGTATTCCAATGCGTTTCCGGATTAGGCGTTGAATTCTATATCCTCTGTTAAAACAATTCCTAGATATTTAAATTGTTTACTTGCTTAATTTTGGTATTTCCAATTCATAGTTCGCATCGTGGACTGTTATTTTTGTTAACAACTTTACATTCTCTCTTCTTACAATTTATGCTTAGTCCTTTCTTCTCGCTTTCCTTTGGTTCTTTCTGTACAAGTACTTCTAGTTTCCTTTCTGTGTCAGCTATCAACACTATGTCAACTCCGTATTTGAAGATTGTGGTCGCCAATAATGAATCCTGGTAGAACTTCTATGTCTTTCAGAATCGCCTAACTGTAAAGGTTAAATAAATCCAGTCATAAAACACATCCTTGTCTTATAACACTTTCTATTCTTTCTTCTTTTTATGCGCCGTGTCCCTTCAGGACGTAGGCGATTATGGCTCTCCACTTCCTCTTATATCTTGCAGCTCTCAATAAGTTTCGTGCGTCTGCCAACTCCCCTCCCCAGACCACGTTCTGTCATCCACTTAAGCCCGCCAGGTAATGTCATATGTTGCTTTCCCTTCTCTTTTTCCCTCTATTCGACCTGTGAGTATCAGATTCTCCAGGCCCTCCTTTCTTATTACGTGTCCCAGAAATTTCAGCTGTCTCTTATGTATGTTTGCATCCTCCCTATATTTTTATCATAATGGGATAATGTCATATGCCCCAGTCGACGAATGGGTTTATAGGGCGATCATACGCCGACTAGGAGATATATACATTCTCACACCGGTGGAGAGATACAAGCTATCTCTCTCAGATCGTGAGAATGGACAATTGGTAAACAAAAAAATATTTTTAAGACCACTGTTCTATTGGGATAATCGAACAGTAATCTTTCCCAGGTCCGCTTCGTTTTCAACACGAATACTGATCCACAATACAAGGATTAACTATAAGGCTTAGCGATTTTTGATACAAGGATTTTAATATGTACAAATATACAATATCAAAATAAAAAAACAGATAAGTATGAGTTAAAACATCCGACGACCAGATCTCAAGACTTACGTTGGGATATCAAAATTCGGCTAACACCAAATGGATTCAACTGAACCCAAATATATAAAAATATAAGTATGAATTACTATGAATTGAATGCAGAAGCCAACGCATACACAAAAGAGATGGGATAGGAGTTACTATTATTGTTTTACATGTGGAAAGGTGTTTGCAAAAACATAATATTCATGGATGTATGTATACCTTTCTACTACGGGCCCAAAATATGATTACTTATCTTTTATATTCAGATCTTTTTTTTTTTTTATATCAGTGTCCTTTCTTTTCTTTTCTCGACACAAACACAATTTCACACACTGTCCGGCTGTAACAGAGGTATACACTTTCTTCCTCTCTTTGTTTCTCCTTTTTCTTTCCTTCCTTTTCTTCTGTAGACAGCTCGGTTTCCAAATCCGGCTCACTGCAACAGGGATGTACACTTTCTTCCTCTCTTTGGTTTTCTTCTTTCTTTCCTTCTTCTTCTTTACACAATTCAGCTTATAACAGAGGTATACACTTTCTTCTCTGGTTTTCCTTTTTCTTTCTTTACACAATTCAACTTGTAACAGAGGTATATACTTTCTTCCTCTCTGGATATCCGTTTTCTTTTCTTTACACAATTCAACTTGTAATAGAGATATATGCTTTCTTCTCTGGTTTTCTTTTTTCTTTAAACGCAGGCTGAATCCTCAGCATATAACTTTCTCTGCGTCTTCAATTTGGGATTCTCGAACAGGAATATTTCTTTTATTCTTGCCCGGAGTTGCCTGGGTTGAACTGGATAAGTCCCATCACTATCAAATGCGTCTTATCTTTCCGTTCATAAACTATCAGCGCTTCGGCTTCAGGTCTTGCCTTTTCAAAGTCCAGATAGCAACTGATTCTCGAGTGAATCTCTGACTGTCACGTGTCTTAAGTTTTGGCGCGAATTCCAGCTTACACCCGTCCCCTGTCTAGCTTCTGTCTAGACATTCGTTGCTACGGGTAATTGGGTCAGTCAACCTTTTGACCTGCCTTTCCAAAATGTCATAAGACTCCCACGTGGCCTTTATTCTGTTGCTAGGCGGAAATTAACCCTAATATATGCGTGTTTAGGCTATCTGCTTTCATCACACGTCACAATAACGATATATAAATTTTTATCTGTCAAGGACAATTTTGGAGGTTCTATATATGACAAAGTGGAGAAAGTTTTTGTGTGACGCGTTTCATCCCTTAGATCTTCATCAGAATATATTCGTTTACGTTAATGTAACTACACATGCATGATTGAGAGACCCAAATTTTGAAAATATTTTTGAAAAATTCCCAAAACACATTATTAAAAAGAAATCCATTTTGTCATACATATACATGTATGTATGTATGGCACCGGTTATTTGAGAACACATGTTTAATAGGTAATAAGTGCAAGACGACCGAACGCAAAGTTACGCATCATGCATTAAATTTTAATATTCCTAATAGGTCTAATTGCGCTTAAATTTGTGAAGAAGAAGTACCAAAGAGGAAATCTTATCGGAATAATTACCGTGAAAATATTTATAGAAAGGTCACAGGGGAGCTACGCTATGATAGTGGGAAAGTGATTGAAGCCGAGATGCCGATAAGATTGCAGATCTTTTTTTGGATTTTATCAAGAAGCTTTAAATGTATAGCAGAAGCACAGGACCAGATGTGGCAGCAATATTCAAAGCAAGAACAAATGTCGAACTTATAAGTAAGATAGATTTTGGCAAGAAAATTGTTTAGAACAACACAGGGAACCAAGTTTCGTATCAGCAGGCATAGCAGTTGATTCATTATCATTTTTTTCGACTTTATGTCAACGGAAAACGTTATCTAGAGAAGTGGCAATGAGTCACTCTCCTGGAGGTTAGCATTAGC